GGGGGGGGGTTTACAAACATTAGTGAAGTTGTGAGGTTATAACACGTACATCTAGAAATGTCGAACTCTTATTTCAATAATATGAATGTTCTTTATATTATAGCTCGAGGTGAAATATTGTATAAAATGCAGCAAATACAATGGGCTATTTCACAGCACCAAAATACATCGACAAGAATACCATTAGAAGCAAAGGCAACACCATCAACGAGGTGATAAGAAAATAACTACAAAATCAACAGTTGCAGCAGCTAATGAATATCAATGGTTCTGTCTTAAGAAACTGACTTTAGAAATCCATAAAACTGTAGTCATATTTATATTGTATTAAATAAGTTCCACATTGTACAATCAGTTTGTCCGTTCTGGGATCCACATTTTCTTCACACAATACGCAGGCTTTCATTACAAACCACTTTAACTGTAAATATTTTAATCAAAAAAATTCCCATAAATATGAAATTTACTTAAAATATCCGTACTGACAAGACCAAGAGAAATCAAGTTACACCTGATGTGCATAAGGTAAAAGTCGACTAAAACTAACATTTATTACGGAGACTGCGGAAAACAAGGCTAAGTTTCTGTCGGCCTGTATGGTATAAGTCAACTTACAAAGTATTATAAGAACTGCTCTCTTACAGGTTTTTTATATAAGGATAACATTTCCTAACACCAGATTAAAACTGAAATGGCTTGTCGTAATAACAGATTAGAACTGAAAAAGCATGTCTCAATAACACATTAAAGCTAGGATTTCGTAATAAGACAGCAAATAAACACGTAGGTTCCGTGAAAACAAAATAGAATGTTGACCGCGCAGCTTTCGAAATACATGTGACATACCCGCGCTGACCTCGACAAGCTATATTTAGGTTCCCGGGTGCTCAGGGGAATGATTAAGCACTCTTTGCAATGGAACTCTAAATTTGTGACAAATCGAACAATTGTATATAAACTCACAATTGCAGAATTTAAACGCAGTGAAGCAATGAGAAGGATAGCGTACCTTTTCTCGCTTATCTTATCGTAAAACTTGGGGTAAATTCCCGAGGTAAAGCCCCCACCCTTCGTCACAACGGTATCCTCGGTCACAACACACCTGAGTGTGTTGTATAGAGTGAAGCCGACCGTAATTTCCCGCCAAGCATGGCAGCCGAGGACACGACCATTCCACAGAAGTGGATAGCAGTCATATGATGCGTGAGGAAAATAATGGAAGATACTGCCGATTTCTTATAGTTCGTATCATCGCCCGTGGAAGAAACCACAAGTGATATAAACTCTTAATTCTTCTAATTCTTCTGTTTTAGTTGAGAAATATTCTCCTCTACGGATGTATTGGTTATCGTACACATTAAAGGACGAACTACTATACAGTATACGCGGTATCCTTAAAGTCTGGATACACAGAAAATCTCAAGAGAAAAAAACGTTTAAAACATAAAGTGCAATTATTGTGCTTAATTTGACAGCAGTGTGGAGTTGTTCTGTCTGGTTCCTGTCAAACTTGCGAAGATATGTTTGCACCATGATAAATAGTGGAAACCATAATATCGAAGCATTCATAATAATTGAAAAAGACTTTGACGCGTATTTCTTGAAAATATACATACAAATTGTCCTCCTTTCGCACGGCTAGAGACAGCAAAAGAACTTGTCAGTTTGTTACTGTTTGAGCATGTCATTGTGACATCCGCAGCTTGCATTGTAAGCATCCAGGGAAATAGGTCTAATAATAATGACCTTCATCATCATTATTTATTATACTATTTGCAACAATTATGATAAGGGCAACAATATCAATATTATTATGATAAAAAAGACAATAAATAGTTAATGACATGATGATAATAATAAAGAAAAAAAAGAAGAACAAGAAGAGGAAGAACAAGGAGAACAAGGAGAAGAACAAGAACAACGAAAAGACCAAAAACAAGAACAAAAAGAACAAGAACAAGACCAAGACCAAGAAGAAGAACAAAAAGAAAAACAAGAAGA